TTCCGTGAGGCTCCACATCCCCGCTGCGGGGAGAGGCAGCGGTTGTGGGACGGCCCCGGGGACCCCGCGCTCCCCGGCACCGCCGCGGTGGCACCGGCGCCGGCTGTCGTGACTTGGAGGCCGTGGCACGAGCGGTTTCAAAACATGGCTTTCTTTTACTCGATCGCAGCGTGTGACATCAGCCGCTGGCGTGGGGGAACGGCGCGGTTTCCCGTCTCCGTGCGTGTGTGCGACGAGGCTGGCCTACAGGCGGCCAAAAGAAGCCGCGTAACCGAGGAGGCACGGGGAGAGCTCCGCCTGTGCGCACCCCCCCAAAACCACCGCCTCAGGCCGAGCTCCCCTGGAGGAAGCGGGCCGAGGGGCTGCGGGCCGGCACGTGGGTCTTGCGGCGGTAGCGGCCGGGCGCCAGCAGCTCCAGGGTCAGCTCGGTGACGATGGCCGTCAGCCCCCAGACCTTGTGGGGGCCGTTGAGGAAGACGGGCAGGGTGTAGCCATAGCGGCCGGCGGTGCGGAAATGGGTGTAGCCTTGGTTCTCCTCCCGCAGGAGGTGATCCAGGGGCAGGGTGAACACCTCCTCCACCTGCCGGCACAGGCGGCGAGGGGGTGACCGCGGCGTCGCCGGACAGGGGACGCGGCCGGTGAGGGGGTCACCCACCTCGTCGGGGTTGGGGGTCAGCATCAGGTCCTCCAGGGGCCCCAGGTTGGCCACGACGGGAGCTACCAGCTGTCCCTGCTGGACGGCGTGGGGGACAGGGGGGTGACAACCCCCCCTCCCCAAAGTGCCACCCGCTCGCCCGCACCCCACCCTGACACCCGTCGCGGGGCTGTCACCCAACACCACCCCCTGTGCCTGCAGCCAGTGCCCCGTGCCCCTGTCACCGTGAACCCCTGCCACCCTGTGTCCTTGTCACCTGTGTCCCTGCCACCCTGCCCTTGTGTCCTTGTCACCCCCGTCCTGTCCTTGTCACTCCCATCCTTGTCACCCCATGTCCTCATGTTTTTGCCACCCTATGTCCTCACATCCTTGTTACCCCCATGTCTTCATGTCCTTGTCACCCCCATCCTTGCCACCCCATGTCCTTGTCACCCCCATCCTTGCCACCCCATGTCCTTGTCACCCCCATCCTTGCCACCCCATGTCCTTGTCACCCCCATCCTTGCCACCCCATGTCCTTGTCACCCCCATCCTTGCCACCCCATGTCCTCATGTTTTTGTCACCCCCATCCTTGTCACCCCATGTCCTTGTGACCTCCATCCTTGTCACCCCATGTCCTCGTCACCCCCATCCTTGCCACCCCATGTCCTTGTCACCCCCATCCTTGCCACCCCATGTCCTCGTTTTTGTCACCCCAGCCTTGTCACCCCCTGTCCTTGCCGCCCCATGTCCTTGTGACCTCCATCCTTGTCACCCCATGTCCTTGTGACCTCCATCCTTGTCACCCCATGTCCTTGTGACCTCCATCCTTGTCACCCCATGTCCTTGTCACCCCCATCCTTGCCACCCTATGTCCTCATGTTTTTGTCACCCCGTCCTTGTCACCCCCATCCTTGTGACCCCCTGTCCTTGCTGCCCCATGTCCTCACGTCCTTGTGACCTCCGTCCTTGTCACCCCCGTCCTTGTC